TACAAATAGAGAAAACATACTTTTCGAGAAAGCTGCCTATGAAAAATAGATATTATTAGGAAAGTTGTTTACTTTGTAGCTTTTATTCTAGAAAAAAGCTCTTATTTTAAACCTTTTCAAGTGTGTGTGTACACACGCATGTTTGTCTGCAGATCAAGCATTTGATCCAGCAGCATAGAGCAGGCACGCCAAAGTGCATCTTCCTTTGATACCACCAGTTTCTTCAGTGTTTCAGACATAGGTAGTAACAGTGCAGCAGTACAGAAATCTTGTCTGTTTAGGTCATGTCGGGTGTAATCTGTTCTCGATGAAGTAAAGCTGAAGATAAAATAAGTAGAGGTGCAGTTGAGATTGGTACTACAGAGTTATAGCCCTTGGAAATGGGAAATACTGACAAGGAGAATGTGCACACCTGTAACATGCAAAAGTGGGTTATTAAATTCATATCATGCTTGATATGAAGGAGCAGTGGGAAAACAGCTCTGCCTGTCACTGATTTAATATGTTTTTCTGTGTATTACAAAGGAAGAATTACTGAAATCTTTTTTTATAGAAGGTTACAGAGAACATTTTGACAGAAAAATTGCAGATTTGGATTTGTATGTGAATGCTTCACGTCCACATTTCACATCAGAAAATGCTGATTCATTACTAAAGGCTTTGTTTTAACGTTTCATTTGAAGGTAAGGTAAGAATCGAGGTACTTTCTAGGAGATGTTGTTCTGACAAGTGGTTGCTAAGAGGATTGTACTGCTATATGTCTCAGATGAGTGGAGCTGGGATGGGGAGGAGGAATAGGTGAGACATATCCCCTAGGTTTCAGCAAGCATTACGTGGAAAAATTGCATTAGAAGCGTTTATTTTCCTCTCTCCCCTTGTTTCCTCTCCCAAGAGAATGCTTCACAAATAACCATATCAACCGTTTGTGGCAGTTTTGTGCCCATTTGGTTGTAAACTGATTTTTATTTTTTTTTTTTAATTTGTATTAATGTTCCAAGGCGACAAAATCCCCATATGACTCATGCAGTATTACTTGCTATAATTCCTTTGAAATCAATTGAATTGTCTGCATTACTTCAATTTATAACTTTTGGGATTGTTTCAAAACATGTTGTGCAAGAAAGAAGTCTAATGAGTACATTTATTTCTTTTTTCTTGGAAACCAAAGGTGGTTGCAATGTATGTTATGCTGATTACCAATCCTCATAGAGAAAATTTCAGTGTGGTTTTGTGTTTTTGTGTGTTGTTTTTTTTTTTGTGTGTGTGTGCTGGCTTTAATTTGTTTGTTTATTTTTTTTTTTAATTTCCTTGAAAATACAATCGTCTCTTTATCTGCCAAAATCTTAAGCATCCTAAAGCCAAAAATTAAGCTGCCAGTCGGAACATATTTGCCTCCTTTTAAGTCTTTCAGGCTCATCTTCCAAGGTAGTATTATCTGCATTGTACATTAAGAAAATAATTTTTCTTTTTGTTGTCAGTGTAAGATGCCAATGGTCAGCTACTGGCTAGCCTTTGACTTCTTAGAGAGCTTTGTGGAGCTTGGGTGCTTCTCTCCTATTTATTTTACCATTTGTTTATTCACTCCTTCACCTTAAGCAAAAGTGCATAATTCTGAAATGTTTGTTTATGGGAAGGACAAAAGAAAATTTGTTGTTTGTGGCAGCAACATTTCTGTGCCAGGTAGAGCACTGACAGGTACCTCTTGGGAACTGGGAGCTTGTGAGCTGCTTCCAGCAGTGTGGTCTGGTTCGTGGGTGGTTTAGGATTGCTTCCTACCCCTTGGCAATAGGAAATGTGTTGGATTAATGTAATAGGATCACATTGTAGTTCAGCTGTCATTATCTAAGGTTGTGATAGGTCGTAATATTTTGTAAAATGGACAGAACAGGTGATTTAGGTGTTGTAAGGCACTCGAATATGGTAGAAGCACAGAGCTGCAGGGCTCTGGAGGAGATTTTTGCTGTCTTTGGTTTTGTTGAGGGTCAGATTTTATTTTTTTTCCCTTCATCTAATACAGAGAACAATAAGATTGAGTAGCCATATGCTGTAAAGATTCTACCTTCAGCATTTCACATGCCCTTATTAAGAGAAGATAAAAAAGGAGACTCTTTCCTTCAGAGCCTGGAAAAAGAGTTTCAGACTTAATCTGTTTGTTGTGGGGGGAAGAATTATGCCAATGGGAGAGTTAATTTGCCTGTTGTAGCCCCCTTTTCTGATTAAATCAGCACTTTTACATCCTGTTGCACAGAAGCAACACCTGATGCCTTACTGGAAAGCCCTCTTGATTTTTTAATTTTTTTTTTTCTCTGTTGAAGTTCTTCAGCATAGTTTTGCTGACATAGTTGTTGATTTGATCTTTTTTTCATGAAAGTAATTTTGACCCTGATCTTATGCATTTAAGTAATTTATGCTTTCATGTAATAAGTATCTATAAAAAACCAACCAACCAACCCCAGACTATAAAATATCTCCCCACTTGCGGTTCACAGATTTTGCTGTTTTGAAGACTATCTTAATAACCATATTAATCAATCTTTTGCTGAAAAGCTTTAATGTTTGCTTAAATGTCCCCAATGGCATTTCATGAGTGGTGCCTCTCTTATGTTGGCAGAGATTTCAGTCAGGTGGGCAAAGTTTCTGATAAGTGCTGCTGCTTAAATTAGCACAAGTCAAAAATGAAAAGTCTTTTCCAGTGGGCTTCTCTTTATACTTCTGTCTCAGAAAACCTCCAAAGCAATGAGACAAACTAAACTGAAAATTTATATGTAAATTTATATATAAAATTTATAAACTGAAAATTTTGACTTAGAGTAGAATTTTGACAGCTGTGATTCAGTCTTCACTTTTAAGTGAGAAAGTAAAACATGACTCAGCAGTGAATTTTGTGATAGCAGAATTAATCAATTTTGTCCTATCCAGAGAAAATTTAACTAGGTCAGATTCTTCTCATTCATTCTTTAAAAATGTTTTTTTTTTCTTGCTGGAAAATGGTAGTGCTTACATCTCAATAATAGGCTAAGAAACTCCATTAGAGAACTACAGTCTTGCTAGCTTCAGTAGAGTTGAAGACAGAACCCTGTCCCTGCTTCATTTACATTAGAAGCAGAAAAGGACGAATCTTTCCATGACTTGCCTGACGGTCTAAAATTCAGCTTATGGATTTTGTACTCCCCCAACCCCTGGTATTGAACTTACGTTCATTTTTATGCTAAATATGACAAGCTAAACCTGTAGTGTTTATGATATTGCTCTTCCTAGGAAGTCTGTTGGTATAATTAAACCACAGTTGAAACCTTGAGAGTAGGATAGTGCCTGTAGGATCTATCTATTCTATTTTCCTCTGGCACAGAGTAAGAATGCTGTTCTACTTTCTGAATCCAACTAACGAGATCCATCTTCCAATTCACAGTAGTTACCTGGATCTTCACAGGTCATAGTACTTGAGCCACTTGAGTCACTAAGGTGGGAAACGTTGCATTCCCATGCAAGCTACCAAATCTCACCACCTTATTCTTTTTAAGCATCTGCCTTTATATGTATATATAATGTTCTTCTGATGTTTTTATATATGTATTTTTGTTTTTCCACTCAGTCCTGGTTTTGTTTCTTTTTTTTTTGGTGGTGGTGGCCTGGTCCCTTGAGATTTGCTAGATGTCAGTGTCTGACTTGAACAGTTAGATCCCATCAAGTGTCTGGGTTAGAGCACAACTGGGATCATTAATTAGTCTGGGTACACTGGCAGGGCTGGAGAGGATGATGTTAATGTTACCTGAGCTAGAATCAAAAAGGCCTGTCAAGTGTACTTCCCTTCAAATGTTTTGCCTTGTTTATATGTTACACTGTGGATGTTATTTCCTTTAAAAATTAGTCTTTCTTGAAGCACTGGGGAATATATTTTTTTTAATATTTCTTAATGTAATTAACTTTATTCCTTAAGTCGTTCTTTTATTCTTTGGGGAATGGTGATTTCTTGGTAGGTAGTTACTTAAATGTTATCTGGGCAAGTACTGCATTTCAGACTGCGTATCTAGCAAATATCAATTATTTAATGATTGCTGTGATTTATTTAAATAAAATGAAGAGCTATGCAGAGAAGGCAGATTGCCAGCTACATAAAAATGAAAACTCGAGTGGGAAATATTGGGCAAAATTAATAACAAACGTCACAATTTCTGACCATTCAGGTTTAAATTACTTTTTTTTAAAGTGGTGGTTTGTTTTTTTTTTTGAGGTTAGACTTGATTATCTGAATCCATTTAAAACTTCTTAGTTTTCAGATGAACAAATTTTTTGTATGCTCACAGATTTTTTGCAGAACGGTACTGATCCTAGACTACCACCATGGAGATCACAAATGTGGTTGTGGAGAAGGTTTTCTATCCTTACTTAAAGTTTTTCATCATATTTGACTATTGAGACATGGTAATGTGCTTGCTATTTTTATCAGTTTCTTTGTAGCCCAGGCAAGCAAGAATACATTTTATAGGGTGGCAATGTTGTGTACCTCAGCCCTTCAGGGCTTAACCGTGTAGTCTTGCTCTTTAGAAACAAGTGTGATGGTTTGTGTCGTGTGTGAGATGGGATAGGGGTTTTTTTGTTTGTTTGGTTTGGTTTGGTTTTGCTTGCAAGTGCATGAGTGAAGATATGCCACTTGCATAGAGTAAAGCCCGAATGGTTGATTTGGAAGCCAGGTTCCTGTAACTTGGGAGGGGCAGACATGAACAATGTAATGTTACCCTGTTTGACATAATTGGGGTAATAGCTGTTGTTACTTTGCAAGCAGAGTGCTTTTTTATTATTATTATTTAGAAATTATGGAAGGAGACATCTCTTAATCTCATCTCAGTGTAAGAACACTGATTACATGAAGTAGTTTTCCAAGTATTTTTAAACAAAAGATGCAAACTAAATACAATAATCTTATATACTGAAAAAATGTTTGCCTAATAGATACATCATGTGATGCTTCAATATTTTTATTTTTTTTTATTTAACAGGTATCTTTCAGATGAAGGAATTGAAGCTTGCATAAGTTCCTCTGAAAAAGTCAATACAAATGACATTATCCTAGTTGCCCTTAATGTAAGTTATGATTGTGAAAACTTTTTTCTGATGAAACATGCTACAAATGATCTATCTAATGACTCAAGCGTAGGTTTGTGTGGCTAATTAAGTGTACTGTTGACTGTGTGATTTATGTCAAGGACAGAGTACCTATTTCTGTCTTTGCATGTACAAGTTGTGAAATTTGTTTGGAAATAACACGTATTCCAAACTCTGAAACCTGGGTAAGAAAAATGAATGTGATTTACAGCAGGAAAATATTTTATATTTCTGAAATGTAAATCTAAAGTCAAAGTACAAGCAGTAATAAAATCAGAAGTGGTGTGTAATGACATGGGTATGAAATTGCAGCAGAAAATTTTAGTTTGTTGGGATGAATAAAACACCTTTACTTAGTTTGACTTCTGGACATTATACTCCTTTAAAACATATTCAAATTAATGATGAATTTTCCTGTGATGTGTACATGTTTATGTGGCTACAAGAAGGTTTTTTGATTTACTGTAGAAATCTAGATTAGCAGTCATTATTCCTGCTAACAAATAAATACTCAAATATACAAGATAGAGGAACAACTTGGAAGCAATAAACCTTAATACTTTTAAGGACTGGAGAAAATCGTGCATGTGAATTCTTGGTTTTTTAGAATTCTGTTACTTACTTTGTTGGTAAACGTTAGTAAGCTTACTTCCTTTCAGGAACAATGAAAAGAGGGCAGTTACTTAATCTGGGTATCTGTTACTTAGTTTTAATTTATTCTATCAAAATCATGAGGGAGAGTTTTCAGAATTTTACATTTTCTTTGTTTAAAACTTCTCAGTCATCCATACTCAGAAGTTTTAAAGCTTGCATGCACTGTATGTGGATTTATGTGAACTTTTTCTTTTGCAATAGCTATATATAATTCCAAGGAGAAAAGCAACGTAGTAGAATGCTTAAGAGAAAAATATTCTTCCTTAATGAAATTGTGAATGAGAATTGTTAAAGGATCAGTTTGTTCATCTTCATTGAGATTCAACCACTGTTGGCTTAAGAAGATACTCTGAAAAGAATATCTCCTCTGCTTCTGTCACTTATTCTTTGAAGCATGTATTCAATCACTTATATGTGTGCATGCCCCAATTCATGTAATGAATTTGAAAAGAAGTAAAACAAAGTTGTAATGCAAAAATGCAGATGATGTAATAAAAAGCATGCAGAGGGTAAGCATTTGGTTTCTGGATTGTGGTAACATGCCTATATCTGTCTATTATCTGAGTGTGCATTACTTCTTTTTTTGAAAAAAACAAATGAAATACTTCCAAGTTGCTAGGTGTTATCCTGAATATAATTATATCCTGGAACAAATGCTAGCATAATCATTTGTGCATGTGTATGTTGTATTTCTGGTTTGTTTGATAGATAATAAAAAATAAAATAAAGCAGAAATGTTATGCAAGTACTCCAAAGCCAGATTCAATTGCTTATCAGTACTTTTGTCATTAAGTCAGTTGTGTTGGTGCCCAGAAGATTAAATTGCCTGTTGGGTAAGTAAGGAATAGCAGCGTGGCTTGAACAACAGGATAGCAATGAGTTTAGATTACACCTCTTACTAATTCACAAATTCTTTCATTGTCTGCCAGAAGACACGTTTCAGGCAGAAGAAACCAAGAAGTCAACTGACTTCTTTTTTTTTTTGGAGTGGATTGCTTAAATAAGTATGAAATAGACATAAATATACCTTGAGTGCTTCAAATGTTTTTATTTTGTATAAAACCTTGCAAAGAGTTTGTAAAAGTTGTGTCCCCTTCCTCCTGCTGTGATTACAAAGCACCTTGCTGGAGACTTGTCAATTACATGAATATGGAGCATGTGGGAACAGTTTACAGGAGACTGTGTGCTGTTCAGAGATAAATAACTGACAGATGACAGACCAGTTCCCTCAGGTGGGCTCAGACTGAAAACCAAATGTGCTTTCTTATCACTGTCTGTGGCTGTCTTGTACAACAAAAAGTGGGCTGAGCATTTATCCATTCTGGAGATACTCAATAAATACACTGAAAGAGCATCCCTACAGTTAGTTTCCTATTTGTAGGTTACCAATGTTTCCCACTGAAAAACAGAATGAACCACTTGCTTACAATGTCTTAGATACTAAAATATAGTACTGCTCAGTTCTAGGGTAGAATACTGGAACAATAGTCTGTTGGCATATATTAATGTCAAGTTAGTGTACAAATTGTAGTAGCAACTACATTTAGCCCTTATTCCTTTGGAGGTGTTTATGATCCTGATAAATAGGGATGGTTTTCAGCTTCGATACGGTAATCTGCACTAGCATGTTCTTTTTGAAACAACAGGCTTATTTCAAGCAATGGAGTTTAGAAAACATAGGTGGTTTAGGCTGCACTGCTGTGCTTTATTTTTTTTCTTAACACATGTAAATGCACTAAAAACCTCTTGTGTAAGGTTTAATCAGTTCTTATTCCATTTTCTATTTTCACATGCTGCACCTTTTAGCCATCTGGTGCATCCTTTTGCCACACATCACCCTGATTGATACGCTTGTCCAAATAGTGCTAAGTGAGGAAAGTACTTCTGTGGAGATTTGTTCCTTTGACCATATGAATTCTTTAGTTTAATGTTGTCAGTAGCAATGTTGCACAATTGCTGGATAATGTCGTGCGGTGGTCTGTCTCACTTCCAAAAGAAGTAATCAGACATTTAATTTAAAAAGCATTTAATGGAAATACAACATAAGCTTTTACTCCAGGTATAATGGCAAAAATCATCCCAATGTTTTATGAAGGATTTGTGCATGTACAAACACACAAACTAAAACCACTTTTCTCTGAATGCCAGATGAAGAACTGACGAAAGACGTTTACCTCTGTTAAACCTCAGAATTACGTCTAGTAATGAACAATTACTTAGTTATTTCGTTTCATCCATTAAAAGCGTTTTAATCATTGAAAATGTGCTTAAAACAAGAATATAATTTAAAAAGCAAAAGGATTTATTTGTAAACTCTTTTATTTGTTGAATATTTTTCATCCTATGCAGTTACAGGAATGTTTTTTCTATCCTCTATAAATAGTTGACATTATAGAAGAAATACTCTTCTTTTTCCTATCTTTTAATGATAATTTTTTTTTGAAACAGGATATTTTAGGTTAATATTCTCTTGTCTTCTGTATTAATTTCAGACAGATTTAAGAACGATTGGCAAGAAATTCCTTCCCAGTGACATCAATGGTGGAAAGGTGGAAAAGGTAGACAATATTCTTACTTCACTTTTTCTGTGTTCGGTGATTTCTGTTGATGACAGTCTTCTATGCTGCATTAGTCTGATTTTGTCACTATTTCACATACAAAAGAATCCAGCAATTGAGTATGTTATAGTTTAAATATATGAACATCTTTGCCCACTAGGCCTCAGAGAGAGAGATCTCTTTCTTTGTTATTTCTCAACTTTGAAATGCTTAAATAAATGTGAACAATCCTAGCAACTTAATTTATCACCCAAAAGTCATTTAACATGTTTGATGTCGACATGGCATCAGAAGGTCCTTTTTTCCCCTGCTTTATTCTCGTGAGGGCGACAAAGCAGTATAGGATTAGAGCAAAGCAGCTGTGTGATTGATACATAGTGATACATGTCAATGCTGTATTACTTGACTTACCAATATACATGATTCTAGCTATACACTTTATGGAATTTTGCACTTTATGGAATTTTACATAGCTTTACTATGTAAACCTTTACACTTTATGTAATTTTACTATACGCGTATCCTATAGATCATGTGGATAAACTATGTTAGATGGTGTAACACTTGATATGCTATAGTGTTATAGTTGAAACTGGGATGTGCTAGATTTTTAATGTATGTTGTATGTTTAGATAAAAATTAGATTTGGCCCCTTCAGTACACCCTTCCTGTTTTCTTCCATACATGCAGTTAAGAGCCTGGATAAATGAAGGAATTTTATTTTAAACCTAGTAGTAGTTCTCAATTCAAATTGTTATCCCTAACTTCCAAATGTTGACAGTCTATGTCACTGATGTGGAAGTTCTGGGAAAACATATTTTATTACCGTTGAAATTCAAATAGTGATACATCAAGGCGGGATTTTTTTAAGAAAGTAAGATTGATGAGAGAGGCTGTTAAGAGCTGTTTGGATTTGTTTTTTCTATTGATGCTGTTCTCTAAATGGAGTGGTGGCTGCTGTAAACACTACTGGCTTCTAAAACAACAGCTGGAAAATTACTGTTAGCTGTGAAAAGCTCACTTGAGAGTGTATCGCCAGGCAGCAGTCTGTGCATGCAACATATTACTACTTAAACTAACCTTCTAGGAAAAGTTTTAACTTTACTTCTTATCATGTGGAGCTATGCTTTTTGCAAGTGTTACTTAAAAAAATGTTAAAATCAAAATGATATTTTATGAAACTGATTGTTACCTATTTAAGGTTACTGGATAGCATGCTGTTCAAGACACTTCAGTGTTTAAATAATTTTTTACCACCTAAAAGAATTTGATGTAGCTATTTCTTATATCTCTGATTTTAATATTTTTCTTCCTCTTCAGTATCCTGATTTTGAAATACAGAAAATGAGCAAAATAATTGCTTTGTATGGCATCTGTTTTTTGCGTGGTTCATTTCTCAGTTGCTTAATTGCAGTATTACCGAATTTTGCATTTTAGATCAGGTAATGTTCACAAGGTCCAAATGGATTGGGTTAAATGTAATTCTCCAGGGTATTAAGGTTACACGTGTGGTATTGCTTGCCTGATTTTCCAACTGGAAAAGGGGAAACACAGCCTCCATTTTTAAAAAGGAAAAAAAGGAAGACATAGGGAACTAACTACAGGCCACTCAGTCTCACCTCTGTGCCTGGCAAGATCATGGAGCAGATCCTACCAGAAACTATACTAAGGCATGTGGGAAATAAGGAGGTGATTGGTGACAGCCAACATGGCATCACTAAGGGCAAATTGTGCCTGACTAATTTGGTGACCTTCTATGATGGTGTTACAGTGTTGGTGGGTAAGGGAAGAGCATCTAGTGTCATCTACCTGGACTTGTCCAAAGCATTTGACACTGTCCCACACGACATCCTTCTCTCTAAATTGGAGAGACATGGATTGAATGGATAGATGACTCAATAGATAAGAAATTGGCTGGATGGTTGCGGCTAAAGTGTTGCAGTCAATGACTCGATGTCCAATGGAGACTTGTGATGAGTGGTGTTCCTCAGAGGTCAGTATTGGGATTGGCACTATTTAGCATCTTTGTTGGCAAGTTTGCTGGCGACACCAAGCTGTGTGGTCTTGTGGACACGCTGGAGGGAAGGGATGCCATCCAGAGGGACCTTGACAGGGGCCTGTGAGAACCTCATGAAGTTCAACAAGGCCAAGTGCAAGGTCCTGCATGCGGGTCCGGCAATGCCAAGCACAAACAGGTGCTGGGTGGAGAGTGGATTGAGAGCAGCACAGAGGAGAAGGAACCACTGCACTGAGGGGAGGAGTGAGCGAGCGGCTGAGTGCTGGCTGAGCTGCTGCTGGGCTGAACCATGACACAAGGGGCAATGGGTTTAAACTGAAAAAGAGTAGATTTAGATTAGATATAAGGAAGAATTTCTTCGCTTTGAGGGTGGTGAGGCACTGGAACATGTTGCCTAGAGAAGTTGTGGATGCCCCATCCCTGGAGGTGTTCAAGGCCAGTTTGGATGAGGCTTTGAGCAACCTGGTGTAGTGGAGGGTTTCCCTGCCCATGGCAGAGGGGCTGGAACTAGATGATATTTAAGGTCCCTTCCAACCTAAACCATTCTATGATTCTTCAATTATTTAGTTTTGCTGTTGAAACATGATTTAAGTTCAAAGTCACTTTAACAGTACTGTTTTTTCATCGTTTTGTTGCATTATGGTAGAATTTCTTTAGAAGTAGTTTTTTATTTTTCATTCATCACTTGAGAATATGCCTAGTAACTTGTCCGGTTTCTTTAGAGAGAATGTTTTCTAAACTTTTGTTGCCATTACATAGTTCAAGTGGTCAATTAAAGTTAAAAGTATCATTAGTTTCCTCAGAGTTTTGATGGACGTTATATATGAGAATCTACTTACATGCTTTAAAATGTTTGCTTCTAGTTTAGCTGCTCAAGTTACCACTTGAGTTTTTCATGTTTCTCAGCTGAAACTAGAGAAAGTGCAATTGTGCCGTTTGTCTCCACAAAATACAAAACCTCTGCACAAAAATGAGTTGCGTGCTTGAAAACTGTGGTCTGAAATACCTGTGAGATAACAGCTACTCTTTCATGGGAAAAACCTTTGGCACTTGTACACACACAAATACTTCTGTTTTGTAAAATTGAACATCTCAGAAAATGAAGAAGTGGAAAAGGTGAGAAAAATGTATTTCTAGTTGAATTTTCAAGGATCCCTATTAAACTCGCTGCTCTCCCCTCACTGTATGTTCTGCTTTGCGTTACTGTCTGTTCTTTTGAGGGTTCTTATTTTTGTTACTGGCAGTACAAAACAGTATATATGCAGGATCGTATATGAAAAAAAAAGAAACTGTTACAGAATGGGGCTGAATAAATTTCTGCATGGAATTGTTTTCCAGTTGATGGAAGTGGAATACTGGAAAAGAGGATTGGATGCTACAGGAATCCAGTCTGATCCAAACTTTCTTTTTGAAAGTTTGCTTAATTCACGTTTTTTCTGTTTCCTAAATTGTCAGATAGTTCAGAGAGATCAGTGGTTACAGACTGCTTCCATTTTTAATGGTTAAAGAGTGAAAATACTGAGGAAAAGGGTATTTTTTTTTTTTTCTGAAAGGTAATGATTCCTTACAACAGCAGCAGGAACTTCGAGAAGCTGTGGGAAACAGGCAGGATAGAAGAAAACTATGCCCCTCAATGATCTTGAAGGCAAGTGTTTAACAAATGGTATTTGTTAAATCCTAGGGACTTACATACTTCTATCAATATTGTGAAGGAGCTAGGATTTTTTACATGTAAACTTTTAGTAAAATTTAGTTTTGTCTTGCTTTAATCAACTGTATTTTATTTGGATCATAAATCTTAGAAAATTATTCTCAAAAATACCAAACCAAACCAAATACGTACAAACCATTTACTGGAGGAAGATAATCCTCCAGGTTTTGAAAATAAGTAATGATTGCACATAAAACATCTGCGTTTGACTCCTATTTATAGTTTTTAGCCCAGACCATTAGACAGTGTACTGAATCTTTGCTTTCTTAACTGTCCTGTTTCCTATTTTTTGAGTAGCTTAAAGCAAATCTGCCTGCTTCATATGTGCTGCTGTTTAGCTTGCAATGTATGCAAATATTTGATGTTACAAGAACTATGTGTTTATAAAGGAGAGTTATTTACTTTATGCAAATAAAGGATATGGTTGGGACAGGAGTGACTTCTTAATGTAACCTCTCAGCAGAAAGTAGTCATTTGTGGTTCAGAAATGCTTCAGGGAACAACAGAAATTACATGCTGTTTACATGAGAAATTCCTCTCATTCAAGACAAGGATCAGTATTATTTATCTGTGTGTTGAGAACATATGATGTATTTCCATCTTGTGTGGAAAACAACTTTGTTTTCTAGTATTAGTGTAATAGGCAAATATTTGCGTAAAAGCTGGCACAGGGTCCTAGTGTGAAAGAACATGGATATTTGACCATTATAGGTGATTAAGTCATTAGTACACAGAAATGTTTTATTCGCTCATTAATATCTGTGTTTTGTATGGATTTAAAAAAATCAATGTTACCAGCATTTACCACGAGATGGCCACATTTGCAAAGGATTTGAAAAGACTGAACCCTCCCATTTCCATCTCGATGACTATATGCTATAAATATACATTAAGTATTTTTAATGGAATAAAAATACAAAGATGAAGCTGAAGTCATAACATATAATTTCATAACGATGTTACATTTGAGGCATAACTGGTTTTCATTTGAGTATTCATGTTTCATTACAATGGAAACATTAATTCCAGAAGAAGCATTCAGAAGGGATTTAATTTCTGCACTCAGGGAGGTGCTCTCCGAGTACCGACAGACTGATGGTAAGCAGTTAAAGCATAAGTTGCCAGGGATTCTAATTCCTGTTAAAGGTTGCTCATACACTTCCCAAGGTCTGTCTTGTTATGCTGATAAAACTAATTGTGCTTTGTTGCCTTTTAGTGTGTCTTTGACTGTGGATTTTGGTTTCCTACGGGATTTTTTTTTTTTTTTTAAGG